GTATTTCTGAGGGTCAAAATTGTTCTGTGACCTCTCTAGAACCTATATAATGCCACAAGAACCTCCTCAGAGAGCTAGAAAAGAAAATAAAAAAATAGGTCAAAACATGGACTATAAAATTGGCGTCCATCTAGCGGTGAAAATTGGAACTACAAAAATATAAAAATTCGATTTTCTCGAAAATTAGCGAACTTTGAGTACTTCTGAGGCTCAGAAAGTGTTACGTGATCGCATTAGAAGCAAAATAAAGGAACAAAAGTTTCCTGAAAGCTTTAATAAAGAAAATAAAGAAAATGCCATTTTATGGAGAAAATTTGTGGCGCCATCTAGCGGCGGAACGGCGAACTAAACTGAAAAAACGTATGTTCGAACACGCAGTAAAGGGGTCAAATAAAAATTGATTTTCTGGGCTTAATAGGCAAAAAAATGAATAACTTATTCAACAAATATTGCTTTAAAATGCCTAAAGAAGCATACTACGTCGTCAAAATTACGAAATATTACCTTTTATAATTTTTCTTAATGCGTGTACGGGCGTACGTTTTTTCAGTTTAGTTCGCAGTTTCGCCGCTAGATGGGATTTTTATTTCTGTGAAGTTTCTATTATTTTTGTATTTTCATTGGTGTGAAGTTTTTTTTTTATTTTTTTTATTAAAGCTTTCAGGAAACTTTTATTACTTTATTTTGGTTCTAATGCGATCACATAACACTTTCCGAGCCTCAGAAGTACTCAATGTTCGCCAATTTTCGAGAAAATCGCATTTTTATGTTTTTTTTCGAGAAAATCGAATTTTTATATTTTTGTAGTTCCAATTTTCACCGCTAGATGGACGCCAATTTTATAGTCCATGTTTTGACCTATTTTTTTATTTTCTTTTCTAGCTCTCTGAGGAGGTTCTTGTGGCATTATATAGGTTCTAGAGAGGTCACAGAACAATTTGTGACCCTCAGAAATACGTAAAATTGCCTAATTTCTGAGAAAATCGAAATTTTAGTTTTTCGTAGTTCCGCCGCTCGCCGCTAGATGGCGCCACCTGTACCGTTTTCGCCCGAATTCGACCAAAATTGATTTTCTGGCTTTATTAGGCATCAAAACGCATCATACCCTAATAGAAATTTGTTTCTAAATGCCTCAGGAACCATACTACGTCGTCAAAGTGCCGAAATATTCATTTTTTTATTTTTCTTATATGCCTGTTCGGACCTTCATTTTTACGTTTAGTTCACCCGTTTCGCCGCTAGATGATCGCCAATTTTTTAGTCTATAAATTGCACTATTTTGAACTTAATTCGCTCGCTCGCTCAATAAACTAAATATAAATAAATTGTAATAGTTTTATGTTGTATAATTTGCGTATGTACATCATTGTAATCCATAAGTACATTACATAACCTATATCTTAATGTAACCAAGATTTTAGTGTTTATTTATCATTCAAGAACTTACAAGTGAAACTTGTATTTTATGCTATTATATTAAGTGTTGAATATGATCTGTAGAACAGTGTTAAATCAAATAAAACCTAATTCATATTATAATTGGCCAAAGACTTGGTTTCTTGAAAAATGCAGGGCTACATCTATTTATAATTTTCAACAATGTCAATTGATACGAGTCTGTGCAACAAATTTAGAGATTTCGAAACAGAATGTCAAAGAAAATATTGGCTTAAAACAACTCAAAGATCTGTCACAAAATGGACCTTCGTTCAGAGATTTTTTACAGCCTGAAACTCGTCTCAATGATCCTATTATTGTGCCAGATATTCCTTACATAAAAAACATTGATGGCTGTGGTCAAAAAAGTAAGTAAACTTGATAATTTCAAACATACAAAATTAATGAAAAAATAATAAAATTATTAATTCACTTTAAGATTCTAATTTAAATATCAATGCAATGATCTGTTTGTCCTAGTTTATTTTGAAGTATATGGCTGTCAAATGAACGTAAATGACACAGAGATAATATGGTCAGTTTTAAAGTCACATGGTTATAGGAAAGTAGAAAAGTTAGAAGAGGCTAATATAATTCTGCTTATTACATGTTCCATAAGAGACAATGCAGAGCAGAGAATATGGAACAAATTGCAATATTTAAATGGTTTAAGAAGAAAGAAACTAAAATCTCTTAAAAAAATTGGTTTATTAGGTATGATTGCAGCATTACAAATGATCTACTTGGTTAATTGTATTAATAATAAATTTATTTATTAGGATGCATGGCAGAAAGACTGAAAGATAAAATATTAGAAAGGGGAAAACTAGTTGATATAATAGCAGGGCCAGATAGCTATAAAGATTTACCAAGACTTCTGTCAACAGTAGAGAATGAAACTGCTATCAATGTTGTTTTATCATTTGATGAAACATATGCAGATGTTACTCCAGTGAGATTGGATCCTGAATCAACTAAAGCATTTGTGTAATCCTTTATTGCTCTTTATAGTAAATATTTATATTATCAGAGCATGACATGTTACTTATAATTATCTAGTATCATTGAAATACTTTTTAGTTCAATCATGCGAGGTTGTGATAATATGTGTACATATTGTATTGTGCCATTTACTCGAGGAAGAGAAAGATCACGACCAATTGACAGTATCATTAAAGAGGTTCAGGCCTTATCTGATGAAGGGGTAAAAGAAGTAACACTACTTGGACAAAATGTAAACAGTTACAGGGATACATCACAATCAGAATTTTACATGAGTAATTCTGCAGAAACACATTTGGTGAAAGGTTTCAAAACTGTATATAAAAATAAAAAGGGAGGACGCAGGTTTTGTGATTTGCTAGACAAAGTTTCTCGCATTAATCCAGAAATGAGAATAAGGTATTAAAGACAGTTTAAATTCGAATGAAATTATTGTTACGTGATATAATTTCAAGAAAACTTGTTTAGGTTTACATCGGCACATCCCAAAGATTTTCCAGACGAAGTTTTACACTTAATAGCGGAAAGGCCAAATATTTGCAAACAAATTCATGTACCCGCACAAAGCGGTAATTCGGAAGTTTTAGAAAGAATGAGAAGAGGTTACACACGAGAAGCGTATATAAATTTAGTAAATCGCATACGCGATATTATTCCAAATGCTTATCTTTCCAGTGACTTTATTGCTGGTTTTTGTGGAGAAACAGAAGAGCAATTTCAAGATACGCTATCCTTGATAGAATTAGTAAAATATAATAGTGCTTTCCTTTTTGCGTATAGCATGCGAGAGGTAATTTATTATATCACGTTCACCTGATCAACGAGCACGTGATTCCTTTATGTTTATATTACATTATTAAAGTGCCTAACTACTTATTAATTTTAGAAAACCACTGCACATCGACGTTACAAAGATGATATAGAACTAAGTGTGAAAAAAAGTCGACTTGATAGAATGAATTCAGTGTATAAAAATGAAGTTCAGAAATTAAATAAATTACAGGTCGGACAATTCCAACTTATACTTATAGAAGGGGTAAATTAGATTACTTAAAATAATATATGATCATATATTAGAATTGAGAATTGTATTGAATTTTTATTTTAATTTAGGTTAGCAAACGATCAGATCAGTTTCTTCACGGAAGAAACGACGGTAACAATCAAGTAGTAATACCATCTCTGAATATACCTATTGAAAAACATTCTAACGTAACTAGACCAATTAAAACTGGCGATTATGTCGTTGTACAAATTTCTGGCTCTACCATAGCAAAACTTACAGGTATACCTTTGTATCATTCGTCGATAACGGAACACACATCATCCACATTGTAAATAAAATAAAGTAGCCATTTCTAGAAATCTTATTTGTTATTTAATCACGTTTATCTGTGCATAATACATTTAATTTTGAAAGGGAACAAATAACGTGTATTTATAATTGTACAAAATTTAATCGACGCGATTATTAATGATACACGTATTATCATACACGTACATAATAAATAAACATAATTTAACTTAATTTTGTGATATATAGCACATCTATTGGTATACAATGTTTCTTGTTACACAAACAATAATAATTAATGTTTTTCCACTGAAATTATGTATACTGATTAAACAAATAATTAACTACACGTGAAAGGTATTTCTTAATACTTCGTTCCGGTCGTTTCTAAAATTTCGTATTTCTATAAAGTCTCTTATTGTTTTATTAGTATTCAATCACGGTCCTTATATTCTTAGGTCCTCGTGAATGAAATCTTTAACAGGTTTTAACATAAATCTACAACTCACTAATTGTACAGCGTATACCTACATTTATTTACAAGAATACAGCGCTTTAATCTCTAAAACGAGAATGATTTTGTACAAAATCAATCTAACGAAACAATTTAAACTGGTACGCATATATTCCTTTTCTAAATTCTATTAACACCTGAGTAGGTATCGTTAGTGGATGTCTTTGGAAATAAAAAAACATTAATTTCCTTAAACAAGACTTGCGGTTCCGATGTTAATTACACAATTATCGGCACCGCGTTCATAAACTGTGAGATCGTGGCTTCTTGGTTGTTCCAACAGTGCAGCCAATTGTTCACCGCTGGGAAACGCATTTGGGTTTGTTGGAAGAATCACGTCGCATTCTAGTTGACCTAAAAAGAAAGTAATTATTACCTCTCCATTATTAAACAAAGCCTCTACACCCGTGCGTGGGTGAATCACACAGAGATATGTACAAATTTAAGTGGCAAAACATGTTTACCTGATAACGACGGCGAAGCACCTTTGCTAGAACCATACATACGAGTACTATACCCGGAATCGTTATGTGCATCATGCAAAGGCGGTGTCGGGCTATAAACCGCATTACGAGACCTATATGGCATTCTGGCGATGCTGTCGTAATGCACGTGTTCTGATATCACTCCTTTTCCGGAGATCCCTCCGCTTAATGCTTCCGGTTGCTCGTCGTCGTCTCTTTCGCTGCTCTCGCTGTCGTTACCTGTGACGTCAATGATGCTAACTTTCAATAAACGCAAAAGAAACTTCATCAGAGGGATTTTAATGAAAATTACCTTCGCCACGCCAGCTGTTCCCTACGCCACCTTGCGGTTGGACCCTCTGATTTTGGGAGCATTGACTGTGCTCAGGACTGGTTGGTTCGCTGCTTCCTGAACGGGGACCTCGCCAGCCGTTGTGCATGCCAGGTACTTGTTGAAATCGCTTGATCATCTCGTGAACGCTGCGTCGTCCCGAAGACCTCCACTCGTTCGAACTGTCGTCGTTCTTTCTTGTGCCGCTACTATCGTCTTGACACGAGTTTATACCATGATCTCGAGAAGGATCCTGGGAAAATTATTTCAACCGTATATTTTAGAACAAAATCGCAGAAAATGTTATGTCTAGAAGACTTAGGAAAATTTGAAATTTTTTGAAGATGTCCGTTTTGTAGTATTAATTTTCAAAGTTCCCGAAATTCCCAAAATCTCAAAATAATAAAAATTGTGAAATGCTCAAATAAAAATTTGAAATCTCCCCGAATCGACTGCACTTTTTCGCTGCCCACAAGCAAAGTACCCCCTGCACCTATGAGCATTATGCCAGGCACATGATCCATCATAGTCATAGATTGCATTTGTCGCGCCTATAAATTGCACCGAATCGAACGTTTGTTGTCTGATTTTATCGTCGAAAGATAAGCGTGAACTACGAGAAAAATGAAGATAACCGCCCTTTGTCTCGAGTTTTACCCCGTATCGAGATGCCCGTAGATGCGTTGATTTGCTGCTCGTAAATATGGTATCTGAACACCGAAGCAACTAAAGGTATCATTAAAGTAGCAGCTCAATCAACGCCTCCGGAGACGCTCAGCGAAACTAAACGAAATAGGTCCGAATTACACACTCACGCGTTGCTGATGGACCTGTTGCCTGGATCCGATCGACGGCGACGAGGCGGCCCCGAGAGGGGAGCTACGATCCTGCTTGATCACGCCATCGAACGTTTCGTTCAGTCTGGCGGGCACGTCGAGCACCCTGAGTGTTGACCTCGAGACACCAGAACCGGACGGGAGATCCCTCATGGACTTGCTGAGTCGCGGTATAGCCGGTATATCGAGGTCGTCTAAGCTGCCCCGATGAATCGACGTCTCTCCCGGGATTTCGAAGCTCCTGTCGTGAGGCCTGTCGTCCAGCAAGTCCTCCAAGGACCTGGCACGAGCCGGTGGGAACGGCTGATCGTTGGACATGGTTTTGGTCGGTCTCTCGCTGTGTCTGCCTCGACCGCCGCGGGAGAGACGTTGTTGAAGATGCATGTGTCTCTCGTCGCACCTGGTCCTCTCCGCAGCCACGCATCTGGTCAGCTCCGAGATCTGTCCTTTGGTCCTCCTCTCCAGGTTAGCTACCTTCAGGTCTAGCCTCTCGTGGGCCTGATCTATGTGCGCCTTCAACTCAGCCTTGTCTCTCTCCAGCTTGGCCTCCATGTGCCTGAAGAATGGTGCGCAGTAGCAGGTGTAGCCAACCCCGACCGGACCTTTCCTGATGTTTCCGGCCAGGTCCAGGTAATACTGTTCACCACGACCCAGAGGATCCGGTGGTAAAGAGTCCAATCGTGGCTGGGGAAACGCTTCCGGATCGGGATAGTAGTGGCAACCGTACGGGGACCACTGTCTGCCCATCACAGCCTTCTCGAAGTGGACCTTGTTCTGCTTGCCGGACGATTTGTGCTTCTTTTTCTCCTTCTTCGAGCAACTGTCCCTGCTCCCGCTGGTCCCACTACCAGTCTTCTCTCGCTTCTTCTCGCTCTTGTTGCTTTTCCCGTCGACCTTGTCCGCCGTAGCCACCAAATAAAAATTTGAAATCTCCCCGAATCGACTGCACTTTTTCGCTGCCCACAAGCAAAGTACCCCCTGCACCTATGAGCATTATGCCAGGCACATGATCCATCATAGTCATAGATTGCATTTGTCGCGCCTATAAATTGCACCGAATCGAACGTTTGTTGTCTGATTTTATCGTCGAAAGATAAGCGTGAACTACGAGAAAAATGAAGATAACCGCCCTTTGTCTCGAGTTTTACCCCGTATCGAGATGCCCGTAGATGCGTTGATTTGCTGCTCGTAAATATGGTATCTGAACACCGAAGCAACTAAAGGTATCATTAAAGTAGCAGCTCAATCAACGCCTCCGGAGACGCTCAGCGAAACTAAACGAAATAGGTCCGAATTACACACTCACGCGTTGCTGATGGACCTGTTGCCTGGATCCGATCGACGGCGACGAGGCGGCCCCGAGAGGGGAGCTACGATCCTGCTTGATCACGCCATCGAACGTTTCGTTCAGTCTGGCGGGCACGTCGAGCACCCTGAGTGTTGACCTCGAGACACCAGAACCGGACGGGAGATCCCTCATGGACTTGCTGAGTCGCGGTATAGCCGGTATATCGAGGTCGTCTAAGCTGCCCCGATGAATCGACGTCTCTCCCGGGATTTCGAAGCTCCTGTCGTGAGGCCTGTCGTCCAGCAAGTCCTCCAAGGACCTGGCACGAGCCGGTGGGAACGGCTGATCGTTGGACATGGTTTTGGTCGGTCTCTCGCTGTGTCTGCCTCGACCGCCGCGGGAGAGACGTTGTTGAAGATGCATGTGTCTCTCGTCGCACCTGGTCCTCTCCGCAGCCACGCATCTGGTCAGCTCCGAGATCTGTCCTTTGGTCCTCCTCTCCAGGTTAGCTACCTTCAGGTCTAGCCTCTCGTGGGCCTGATCTATGTGCGCCTTCAACTCAGCCTTGTCTCTCTCCAGCTTGGCCTCCATGTGCCTGAAGAATGGTGCGCAGTAGCAGGTGTAGCCAACCCCGACCGGACCTTTCCTGATGTTTCCGGCCAGGTCCAGGTAATACTGTTCACCACGACCCAGAGGATCCGGTGGTAAAGAGTCCAATCGTGGCTGGGGAAACGCTTCCGGATCGGGATAGTAGTGGCAACCGTACGGGGACCACTGTCTGCCCATCACAGCCTTCTCGAAGTGGACCTTGTTCTGCTTGCCGGACGATTTGTGCTTCTTTTTCTCCTTCTTCGAGCAACTGTCCCTGCTCCCGCTGGTCCCACTACCAGTCTTCTCTCGCTTCTTCTCGCTCTTGTTGCTTTTCCCGTCGACCTTGTCCGCCGTAGCCACCACCGTGGTCGTCGCCGCCGCCGTTGCCGTCGCCGCTCCAGCCTCCTCCTCGCGGCTCTTGCTACGCGTTCTACTCTTGCTTCGCGCTTTACCGATTATCTCCAATATCTCCGTCAGGTTCTTGCGCCGCGCTATGTCCTTCGCGGTCTCCCCTTGCTTGTTTCGCAGACTACGATCGCAACCAGCTTCCAGCAGGATCCGCGTCAGCTTGCGACGTCCCATCGCCGCCGCGATGTGTAACGCCGTGTCACCGTTCTGTGGACAGGGACCCATTTTTAGCCGTGATCTCATTGCCTCGATCAATCATTCCGATGACATGATTGTACTGGCTCTATTTATCACAAGTCTTATCTATTGCTTTCGCGATTTTTTATTGTGTCAATGAAGGTATACTCGGAAATCTGGTTTCTCCTAAGGAAACTAATTTCTAATTTTTAAAACGCGATGCACTTACTTTATTCTGATCCGAGACTCGACACAGAGCGGAAATTAGGATACGAGTTACACCGGCGTGCCCATACCGCGCAGACGTGTGAAGGGGTGTGTCTCCGTACTGTAAAAGAAGTACAAAGTTATGATAGAACAATTATAGAGAAATACGAGATGATTTGCGCGAAATGAAATTTTCAAACTCAGAGTAACAAATTAAATGACTAAATCCCCAAACTTCTCAAACACCGTGGCAATAAAAATCCTAATATCCGTAACATGAAATACCCTTGCAATATATTCTGACATCGTTCCTTACCACTCCTTACGGTGCCTAACTTACGATCCCCCTGTATCACAACGGCACTATACCGACAATCAAAATAAAACCTCTACAACCTGCAAAAATTTATTCATCATCCGCACACAAATCATCTTCGTAAAAACACTCGCCGATCTTCGGTGTTAACAAGAGCACCCGTATCGCGAGCTGTTCGTATTTAATCAGATATTAAATCTCGTCGAAAACGCATACCGGAGGGTGTGAAAAAAGCAACGTAAACTAGCCTATCACTCACGTTGTTTTGAAGGTCGGGATTGCATCCGGCCAGCAGGAGTTCTCGGCAGCTTTGGTTATGGCCGTTTTGGCAGGCGAGGTGGAGCGGTGCAAATCCAGCGAGATTCCTCGAGTGCAGGGGTGTGCGTTGCGTCCCGAGGGCCTTGGCCAACGCTGCCACGGTCTTGCTGTATCCTCGCCAGGATGCTTCGTGCAACGATGAATTTCCATGCTGAAACACGCGCACCGATTAGTGAAACAACCTCGTCGGCCAGTTTTGATATCGATCGATCAAAGCTCGTGCCTGTCGATCAGCTGCAATCACGAGAGAGTTGGTTGAAAAAAAGGAGCTAAAAATACGGACTGACACGCGAAGTGGACGTGCCTTTCCTTCGAATCAGATATACCAACGAAATCGGGTAAACGACGATCGATCGTTAATCAGACGTTCGTGGCTATCGGTCGATCGGCCGATAATTGCGATTAATTGATTTATTTTCTGTGTAAATATCCAAATACGGAGACAGCTCGTCGACGGGAATGTATGTTATTGGGTGCTGATTTACTGATATATCGACGACATGGAAATGTTACAAAATGACACTTATGATGTATTATTTTATATCTCATGATAAAAACTGCATAGACATTCTTTACATAAAATGGCTGGGTCATAACTATCAGAAACGATCATTGATTTTAAAGTATACGTATAGCATGTCAACATCAAGCCCAGAGTTTTACAAGATTGACCAAACAAACAGTTTATCAGTACTTCTAACACAAAATGGCTGTTTGCCGATTATAGCAGACAATGATGTATTTCAGAACTTGGAAAGTCAGATACGATTTGATGACAGAAAAGTACTACAAAATTGTACATATCGTATATCAGATTAAAGTTTAAGGTTCGATATAGATGACCGCATAAACGTTTCGTTAGTATTTTCAAAACAAAATGGCTGACCGTTAACTGCAGCGAACAGTCATCGATTTTGGTACATGTAAAGTTCGATGACACGAAATGGATCTTGTGTTAATTAGCATAGTATATTAATTTTTATAAGCATATTAATGATTATAAAAATGACTGCACACTTTGCTCCAAATTTGAGGAAAGTTTTGAATTTTTACGTTACCTAAAAACTATCTCGAATCGCTATTTCGAGAACCGTATTTATAGTCATTCCCAGTCCACGATAAAACAATATTTGCGACCTGGTAAACATGTCAATCGAAGAGTTAGAGCGTGCACGAACGCGTAAACGTCCGGAAGGGAAGAGGCAGATAATGGAGACGTAAATGCGTTCGAACGCACAGTCGAGGATGCGGCGTTCAAGCGAGGCTTATTGTGGGCGGTGTTTTCCTCCGGGGCGGATAATGTCGCCCGCTACATCTCGAAATGTCTATTCAATTTAGATTAGCCCAGCACTCGTCCGGATAAATATCCTCGATATGCCATTTTGCGAATTCTAACCGCGGAACGATTCTCGTTTGCAACGCGTTCTTCCATCAACGATTACCACGTTCCATCGTCCGGCAATTTCTACAGAAATTTCCTACCGTGAGAATTTCTCTGGCCACTCGTTCTATGTACGCGCAGACCATGTATGTACAAAAATATGAATCTTTCATTAGCTTTAACCCTTTCGGCATTTGGACTGTACTTGTATATTTGAGGACTTGGAATTTGAATATTAAAATATTCACTTGTATTCATTATTTATCTAGATCTGTACACACATGTATGTATAGGTAGGTAACATATGTCTGTATGTAGGTAAAGTATGTGTGCAGGTACAAAACATATGTACGCCTTACATAAAATTTATCAACTTTTTTTTGATGAAATTTTTGAGAGACAACTAAAAACAAACGAATAATAAATAATATTGATTTATTCATTATTTATGAACAAAATTAATAAATATGTTATTGTAGAATAACAAATAAATTGTTCCTAATTGTTTTATTCATCATCGTAGTTTTGAACAGCTTACAAGGCTAATTTACGAGCTAACTGAAAATCATAAGTAGATTAAAATAATACACAGCACTAAATCCTTCTTAAGACGCGTTGTAAAATGTCTCATCTGCAGAGGTTATAAAAGCGTTAGTCTCTAAATCATCCGCGAAGTCGATTGATACTCGGAGTATAGTACTCGCTACCGAAGCTTCCTTATTCATGTCATTGAATAGCATTGAATCGCGTCGACGATGCATTCAGAGAACCGTTCGAACCTGAAATTAATTCTCCCGTTGCATCGTACAGCGAAACAGCACGAGTTACGCGATAATAATAGTACCGAGTTAACGTCATACCTTGCGTATGATTTATTATATATTTATTCAGGCTATTGAACCTTCCTGGGCTCTCCTTATTCATACGGACCGCTCTTCTTGCTTTCACTGTTCTAGCCTTCGTTGACCCCGAAAGGTGTGATCACGACGAAGCCCACGTCGATGGCTGTATATCCGCGGACAACGGTGACCACGATGGGTCAGCCAAGGTATACACGGTGTTCGAGTGCGAAATCGTTTATTATACTAGTGGTGGATTGATTACAAATATATTGTAAAAGTTTCAAATTTTCAAAGACTCAACTCTTCATGTTTGTATATTTTCAAGTGTCAAAGTTTCAGATTTTCAAAGACTCAACTCTTCAAGTTTGTATATTTTTCAATCCTTAAATCTCTAGACTCCAAAGCTCTCAACGTTTTAAGTTATCGAATCTCCAAGTCTCCAAATCATTAAATGTTTGAATTCCCAAATCTCCAAGTTTCTGAACATTCAAATCTTTAAATCTTGAAACTCTCATGGCTTCCAAAGTCCTAAATTATGAAATCCCTAAGTCTTCAAATCTTCAAATCTCCAAATCACCAAATCCACATATGTCCAAATCCTCAGATCCCCAAACCTCCAAATCCCTAAATCTCCAAATCTCTAAATCTCCAAATCCACATATGTTCAAATCCTCAGATCCCCAAACTTCCAAATCTCTAAATCTCCAAATCTCCAAATCTACACATCTCCAAATCCACATATGTTCAAATCCTCAGATCTCCAAACTTCTAAATCTCTAAATCTCTAAATCTCTAAATCTCCCAGTCTCCAAATCTCCAAATCTTCAAATCTCCAAATCCTCAGATCACCAAATCCCCAAGTCCCCAAACCTCCAAATCTCCAAATCTCCAAATCTCCAAATCTCCAAATCTCCAAATCTCCAAATCTCCAAATCTCCAAATCTCCAAATCTCCAAATCTCCAAATCTCCAAATCTCCAAATCTCCAAATCTCCAAATCTCCAAATCTCCAAATCTCCAAATCTCCAAATCTCCAAATCTCCAAATCTCCAAATCTCCAAATCTCCAAATCTCCAAATCTCCAAATCTCCAAATCTCCAAATCTCCAAATCTCCAAATCTCCAAATCTCCAAATCTCCAAATCTCCAAATCTCCAAATCTCCAAATCTCCAAATCTCCAAATCTCCAAATCTCCAAATCTCCAAATCTCCAAATCTCCAAATCTCCAAATCTCCAAATCTCCAAATCTCCAAATCTCCAAATCTCCAAATCTCCAAATCTCCAAATCTCCAAATCTCCAAATCTCCAAATCTCCAAATCTCCAAATCTCCAAATCTCCAAATCTCCAAATCTCCAAATCTCCAAATCTCCAAATCTCCAAATCTCCAAATCTCCAAATCTCCAAATCTCCAAATCTCCAAATCTCCAAATCTCCAAATCTCCAAATCTCCAAATCTCCAAATCTCCAAATCTCCAAATCTCCAAATCTCCAAATCTCCAAATCTCCAAATCTCCAAATCTCCAAATCTCCAAATCTCCAAATCTCCAAATCTCCAAATCTCCAAATCTCCAAATCTCCAAATCTCCAAATCTCCAAATCTCCAAATCTCCAAATCTCCAAATCTCCAAATCTCCAAATCTCCAAATCTCCAAATCTCCAAATCTCCAAATCTCCAAATCTCCAAATCTCCAAATCTCCAAATCTCCAAATCTCCAAATCTCCAAATCTCCAAATCTCCAAATCTCCAAATCTCCAAATCTCCAAATCTCCAAATCTCCAAATCTCCAAATCTCCAAATCTCCAAATCTCCAAATCTCCAAATCTCCAAATCTCCAAATCTCCAAATCTCCAAATCTCCAAATCTCCAAATCTCCAAATCTCCAAATCTCCAAATCTCCAAATCTCCAAATCTCCAAATCTCCAAATCTCCAAATCTCCAAATCTCCAAATCTCCAAATCTCCAAATCTCCAAATCTCCAAATCTCCAAATCTCCAAATCTCCAAATCTCCAAATCTCCAAATCTCCAAATCTCCAAATCTCCAAATCTCCAAATCTCCAAATCTCCAAATCTCCAAATCTCCAAATCTCCAAATCTCCAAATCTCCAAATCTCCAAATCTCCAAATCTCCAAATCTCCAAATCCCCGAATCTCCCAAATGTCCAAATCCCGCCATCCCCTAAGTTTCAATACTTAATTCTCAAACCCCAAAATCCCAAATCTGCAATTCCCACCAAAATCCCCAAATACCCTAACTCTGCCCTAAAATCTTTCAGACAGCTCTCGAACTGCCCAGATCTAGGTCTTCTCATCATCCACTAAAGCGAGTAATGGTCACCTTTTGCCACTCAAAGCATGTCGAACAATTGAGTACAATTTATCGATCCCCGCCGATCCGATAAATCTTGAAGTTTCTCTTTTCTCAAACACCCTATATAGAGGGTTTAAGGGGACTGCTCGAAGGGTCACGACGATGCTATCGCTCAACGAGAGGAAGAACGTTATTCTTTGAAGCGCGTGGACGTACACGCTCGCGGACTCGAACGACTCGGAAGTCGCTGGGAACGCTCATGCATCATCGTATTTTTCATTCTGTTCGAACGATTGTTTGACCCGTATGGTCTTCGTTTGACGGGTTAACGTAATGATTTTTAGGTAGTATGGTAGTTTGACCCAACGGCAGATTCCTGTTAGAGTTAATTTGATACGTTGGAACGTAGATTTTTGGGATAAGTTTCTTTATTGCCTGTCATCTATGCGAGACCTGTGGTATCTTGATCTTTTGAAAAATGTTATTTCCTGAAATCTTCAACCTATTATTATCTATAGTAATTTGATTATAATTATGATTTGCTGTTCGTTTTTAACAGACGAGTTAACGGTAAGACTTTGATGAATCCTGCACTCGATAGGTCGATAGAATTGATGC